GAGGATACAGTTCAAGATCCTGGTCCTCACTTTCAAAGCTCTCCATGGCCTTGCTCCCCCAACCTCTGTGACCTCCTGAACCCCCTACCATCCTGCTCATTCCCTCCGCTCAGCGGGCTCCGGCCTGCTTCACGTCCCCTGCCTCGCTCACCCCACCATTGGGTGCAGGTCTTCTGCCGTTCTACTCCCACCCTCTGGAACTCCATCCCACAGTCCCTCCGGCTCACCCCATTCCTTTCCTCCTTTAAGACCCTTCTCTTTGACCGTGCTTTCGATCACCCTGCTTCCCCCCCACTCCACCCTCCCTGATCCTAACCCCAGCTCAGAAACCCTGCTTGTCCAGCGCCTTGGGATGTCCTCCCGACGTGAAAGGCGCTATACAAATGTAATTTTGTTGTTGTTATTGTAAAACATTATGTTGACAGTATGAGTGTCTAACTAGTAACATTTGACTTTTTTCTGAAAATGGCACATTCAGCAGAGCATGAAGTTAATTATAAATTAACTTCATACCATTGTCATTGGCTGGGTCAATAGAAAAGTGTGGCAATATTTGCCAACAATTTGTGGGTAATTGCTGTGAAATTTGACATTTTGTGGAAATTTGCAGGGAGTTTATTGAGGTACATTTTACTGCCAACCTACATTTTTTCACTTTATTGATTAAAAACTAAACAGGACACATATAACAAATATTAGACTGTTGCAATTTTAAAAATGAATTTCTTTAACAAAAAGTGGGTGGCCTGTTTGCGGCCGGGAGAACACCAACTCAGTCCCAAAGGGCCTGGAGATCTGCCACAATACAGATACTCAGGACCAGTCGGTCTACAGGAGCTCACCATCTCCTGCCTCTCAGGGCCCTGCAGCGCACACAGAGACAGAGACCCAGAGAGAGAAACTCCACTCACAGACACAGAGACACATGTTCTCAGAGAGAGAGAGAAAAAGACACACGCTCTCATACACAAAGAAACACACCCAGACAGGGGAAAGACACAAAGACGCACTCACATAGAGACACTCACAAACGCATACAGGGGAGAGAGCCGCACGCAGAAACAACAACAACTTGTATTTATATAGTGCCATCCACGCCGGGTGGCGTCCCAGAGCACTAATCAGTGATGGAGCCCAATGCCGAGGCTGGGTGGGGGGAAGGTGACCATAGGCAAGCTCTTCAGGCGCAACCTGTAAATGGGGAAAAAGGGGGCAACGCAAAGGGATTGAGGGAGGAAGTTCCATAGGTTTGGGGTGCAGTAGCTGAAGGCATGGCCGCCGATGGTGGAGTGGAGGATATTCGAGAGACGAGGAGGCCGCGGGTAGTGCTATGAGGAGAGAGGAGGTTGGAGAGATAGAGGGGTGCCAAGGCGTGGAGGGATTTAAAACTTGAGTAAGGATGCTGAAGTTGATCCACTCTGTGATATGGTGGCAGTGGAGTTTGGCAAGGACTGGGGTAATTGGGGTGCAGAGTTTAGCGCAAGTGAGAATGTGGGCGGCGGAGTATTGGATGAGTTGAATTTTGTGAGTAGTGGAGGAGGGGAGACAGGCGAGGAGGGCGTGAGAGTAGTTCAGCCGAGAGTTGAAGAAGGCATGGACAAGCGTTTCGGCAGCTTGTGGAGTGACGTATTGTCGGAGATGGGCAATGTGGCAGAGGTGGAGGAAAGCTGTACTGGTCAGAGCATAACATGTACGAGCAGGGGTAGGCCATTCGGCCCTTCGAGCCTGCCCCGCCATTCAATCATGGCTGATCTTCTAATCTAACTCCAGCTAATAACCTGACCCTGCCTTATCCCCATATCCCTTAATCCCTTTTGCAATAAGAAATATATCTATCTCAGTCTTGACAGTCAGGGACCGGATGTGTGAGAGGAAGGATAACTGGGGATCGAACCTTACACCTAATTTGCACACGTGTTCAGAGTTTTAAGGACAGATAGGGTAGGTTGAGGAGATCGGAATCGTAGGGCAAAATATGTTGACGGGAGCCAAAGAGTATGGCTTTTAACTGCAGAAATTTGCGCTCATCCAGGCCTTGATGTCTGTCAGACAAGCTGACAGAACATCAGGGGACTGAGGGTCTCAGCTGGAGGAGGAGGAGCAGTAGAATGTTATCTGCATACATGTGGAAGTTAACCCCGTGTCTGCGGTTGACATCACTGAGAGGGAGCATATAGCTGAGGAAGAGAAGGGAGGGGGCCAAGGACGGAGCCTTGGGGTACCCTGCAGGTGACCGGGCGGGGCGGTAAGAGAAACCATTTGCGTGAATGTAGAGCTGGCAGTTTGTAAGGTAGGAATCGAATCAAGCGAGTGTAGTACAACTGAGGTGGATGATGGAGGAGAGGCAGTGGAGGAGGATGATGTGATCAACTGTCGAACGTGGTGGAGAGGTCCAGGAGGACGAGGAGGCACAGGGAGCCCTGGTCACAGATAGAGAAGACATTGTGACTTTCACGAACGTTGACTACTGGGGCAGAGCAGAAACTGGACTGGAGGGGTTTGAATAGAATGTGGAGGAAGAGGTGTGCGCAAATTTGGTTGGCAACAACTCATTGCAAAGCTTTGGCCAGGAAGGACAGGTTTGAGATAGGGCAGTAGTGCCCAAGGTTGAAGAGGTTGAGGGTAGGTTTTTNAAGGAGGGGAGTGATGATGGAGATTTTGAGGGGGAATGGGACTGATCCTGAGGAGAGGGACTGATTAAAGATGTGGGCAGAGGAAGGGGAGCTGGGTGATCAGCAGCTGGGTGGGGAGGGGTTCGAGGCAGCAGATGGTGGGTTTCATCAGGGTAATGGAGGATGAGAGGGAGGAAGGAGAGCTGGGGGCAAAGGAATGTAGGTTGGGGGCCGTAGTAGGAACTGGGGTTGGGGGTTTGGTGGGTGAAGGAGATGGAATGGGGGGAGTGATATGAGGACATGGGGCAGGAGGATGAGGCTACCAGTTGGATGTTTTCTACATGATCTCTTCATGCTTGGTGTTTGGTGTAATGATTGAGGGGTCGGGACGCACGGAGGAGATGGTGGAGAATAGGATTTTGAGTTAATTTTGGCCTCCAGAATGATCTGAGTAGTATAGCTTACGTAGTTTTTGCTTGCGAGAGAGAGCGGTGGTAGATGTGAAGGTGCTTGAGCCACAGCTGGTGGTGAACTGTGAGGCTGGTTTTCTGCTGGCTGCGCTCGAGTGGGTGGAAGGCCAGAGGGAGAGGAGGTCTGAGGATGCAAGAGCATTTGTGAGGGTCTTGGGCTGGGTGGGGGAGCCTTTTCATGGGTGGAAAAAGATGGTGGAGGTCTTGATGGAGGGAAGAGAGATGTGAGAGGAGAGGGAGACGAGGAAGTGGTCTAGGGGTGGCCTTCTCTGATATCTAAGCCATGGATGATAATGAGATCTAGGGGATGGTCACGGTTGTGGGACGGGGAGTTTATATGGAGGGTGAGATTTAGGGTGGAGAGGAGTGCAGTGAAATCAGAGGAAGTGGGGCAGGAGGAGTTGAAATGAAGGTTGAAAATCGCCCATAATGAGCAGAGACACACACTAACAAACACATAGAGAGAGAGACACAGACAATTTCAGTAGTGAATGTAGTGAAGCCCATTTACCTCTTATGCCGCACTGCACACGCGGATCCGTAGCCACTCTGCCCACAGTAACGCCAGGTAAATAGCTGGCAGCAATATGGAGAGGCCTGGGCGCCAGAAATTTTTCGTGGTTTTTGTAGTGGAGGGCACTGGTTGTAGCGGATTCTGCAGAAAAATTGCAGCTGCACTTTTATATTGGCCCAGATCACTGGGTGGGTTTTCATCTTATCTTCCTTTACCTTTATGCTTGAATAAAGTTGCCATTTTAACTTCAAAAAAGTTGCTCCTCCTTGCCCCCAATAAAGGTTACTGTTATGAGTTGAGCACTACCAAAATTGTTAAAATATGCACTTAGCTAAAGAAATTTAAGTGTAGTTGAGGCAAATAGCATAGATGCAGTTAAGGGGAAGATAGAGAAGTACATGAGGGAGAAAGGAATACAAAAATACAAAATTACATTTGTAAATTGCCTTTCACGTCGGGAGGACCTCCCAAGGAGCTGAATAGTCAGGAATTAGGACTCGAGCGGGGATGGGAGCTGGGATCAGGGATGGTGGAGGGCAAGAAGGGTGGAGGGTAGAGAGGGTAGGAGGGTAGCTAAAGGCACAGTCGAAGAGGAGGGTCTTGAAGTGTGTCTTGAAGGAGGCAAGGGAGGAAGCGAGGTGAAGGGAATGTGGGATGAAGATCCAGAGGGTTGGGCAGCGAGGCTGAAGGCCTGACCACCAATGGTGGGGCGGGCTAAATGGGGGACACGGATCAGGCTGGAGCCTGCTGAGCAGAGGGAGCGGACACGTTGATAAGGGATTAGCATGTCGGAGAGGTGGGGGGGCAAAGCCATGGAGGGCTTGAAGGTGAGGACGAGAATTTTGAACTCGATCCTCTGAAGGATGTGGAGGTAGGGGAACCAGTGAACCCGGGCAGTGGTGGGTGTGATGGGGTCATGGAGCCTGGTGCGGGAGAGGGCACAAACTACAGAGTTCTGGATGATCTGCAGCTTATAGAGGAAAGAGTTGGGAAGGCCTACAAGTAGGGCGTTGGCATAGTCGAGCTTGGTTGTGATTAAGGCATGTATGAGGGTTTCGGCAGCCTGAGGGATGAGGCAGTGGCGGAGTCAGGCAATGTTGTGGAGTTGGGGGAAGGCAGAGTGGGTCATGGCAAAAATGTGGGAGAGAAAGGACAGTTGAGGGCGAACAAGACGCCTAGATCCCTGAATGGCTTGGTGAGGTGGAGTGTGCATCCACACTAGTGTGAATAGAAGGTTATGCTGATAGGCTTAGTTGAGGAAGGGCAGGAGGAGGCTCATGTGGAGCATAAACGCTGGCATAGACCAGTTGGCCCAAATGGCCTGTTTCTTTGCAGTATATTCTATGTAATTCGATGTAAATTGTAGTATGTTAATATTTTCTCTTGTTTTTTGTTTCTTTGCAGATCAAATAAATAGGTTTGCTGGTTTTGGTATTGGTCTTGCAAGGTACAGTGCCTCTTATGTTTTTAAAGGTTTATACTCACATAATCTAAAGCTTGTTTTGAAGAATCATAATCTTAAAAGTAGTGTGTGATTTCAAATGAATAGATGACTAAATCCAAGGATTATTTTACTAAAGAGTTACTGTTCATCACTTGATCGACATGGCAAATGACCAGTCTTTTGTGCAAAAAAGTAGAAGTACAGTAAACTCCTGATGTATCGGCACTTCAAAGGAAAAGAGTTCAGTGACTATTCAGAGTGACTATGAAGGCATGAGTCCTGCGGATCCACTATGGGTTCTCTGTCCAGGAGAACCTGCACCAATAAACACTGCGCTTGTGTAGAGTGATTAGTTGTCAGTGTGACAGAGCAGCCTTGTCCCCCACAGCTATCAATTTATTTATTAAAACTAATTTAAGTTAATTACAGAATATGTTTGGCAACCTGTGGTCTGCGGGCTGGAGGGACCCAAGGCGCCATCAAAACGTCCGCCTGAACATTTGCACGAGTTTAGATAAACTTGTGTTTGATCGGTGGTGTGTTTTCAGTTTTTTCTTGATTGAATATTTCTTGATTCATGCCATCAATCAAGAAATATTCAATCAAGGAAATTTATTTTGTTGACCAAACCTAAAGATTGGCTACCACTGGTATAGGCATATAACAAAATGACTATAACAAAAACTTATTGTTCATTTTGCTCATTTTAACAACCTGAATCACTCAAGACTTTAACAATCAAGCAGAACCTCACAAAAGGCAAGGCTACAACAGTTAAAAGAACCACGATGTGGCTGGCTGAGGGCAAAGGTAACCAGGCTGGTTATCTTATTCAATTATTCAAATCGTGCTTCTAGGTCCAATGACTGATGTTGTTTCCCTTGGTCTCTTCCAAGGGCGTTTCTTCCTGCCACTCACAGTAATTTGCAGTTGTTCTCAGGGCTCTATCTTTGTTCTTTTCCTTTTCACCATCTATATGCTCTCGCTTGGTGATGTAATTCGCAGGGATGGAGTCCATTAACACATATACTAGGATGACATCCTACTCTATCTCTCTGCCTCTTCCCTTAGTTCTAGGACCAGTGTTGTTTTGACCAGTTGTCATTAAGACCTGAATGAGCTCGATTAAGTTTTTTCAGTTCAATATCAACAAGATCTTCTCCACAGCTCCCATCAGTGCCTTCTCACCGCTTTTGAGATATCCTCCTGATGTGAAAGGCGTTATATAAATGTAAGTTGTTGATGTTGACATTCTACACTACTTTATTTTAAATGTAATTTTCCTTTTTTAAGTATTTTCACAGAGAACGTACTGGCTCATCCCTGTATTGTTTTCCGTCGGCAATGCCAGGTAAGTGTGTATGTGTGCGTGGGGGTGGAGAGAAGACACAACTTTTATACATAGAATCACTGTTATGTTGTGAGGAGATCGAGAAGAACAGTGTTAATGCTGTATATTATTGGATACACTGACATATGCAGTAAAGGATAATCTGTAAACCAGAATATGTAAACCCATATTTAGAACATTGTATGCAGTTTTGCCAGCCTAAACATATTGAAAGAATTCAGAAAAAGCTTGCAAATATGTCCTTAAGAGATAAATGATTTGTTTGGAATATTAAAGTAAGCATGATTAATAGTCTTACAAGGATGTAGAGGCACTGGAAAAGGTGCAAAGGAGAATTACAAGGATGATCCCGGAACTGTGAGGTTATACCTATCATGAAAGGCTGAACATGCTTGGACTCTTGAAAAAAGAAGGGTAAAGGGTGTCCTTATAGAGGTCTTTAAAATGATGAAAGGTTTTGATAGGGTAGACATAGAGAAGATGTTTCCACTTGTGGGGGAGACCAAAACCAGGGGCCATAAATAATAATATAATAATAATAATCTTTGCATTTGATATAGCGCTTTTCACGTCGGGAGGACGTCCCAAAGCGCTTCACAGAACACACTGTAAAGTGAATTGACTGTATATTTGTGGGCGAACGCGGCAGCCAATTGCACACAGCAATGTCCCACAAACAGTCGTAGATTGAAAATGACCAATTTATTATTGTTTTGGTTTTGGAGGGATTATTATTAGGTGTGTGGAGTAAGGAAATTTGCCCAAGGTTTCGCCCTGCCTGGAATTGAACTCAGGTCTCCCGCTTGCAAAGCGAGTGCTCTAACCACTGAGCTACAGGACTCCGATAGGGTCCGATTTTAAATATAAAATAGATCAAATAGGGAAGTCAGAAGAATTGTCTTTACACAGAGAGTGGTGAGAATATGGAATTTGCTACTATAGGGATTATTTGAGGTGAATAGCATAGATGTATTTAAGGGAAAGCTAGATAGGCACATGAGGGAGAAAGGAATAGAAGGTTATGCTGGGAGGCTTAGTTGAGGCTCATGTGGAGCACAGACCAATTGGACCGAATGGTCTGCCTCTGCTGTATATTCTAATGTATTCTAAGTAGGAAATATTCAGCAATAACTTTTTTTAAAAAAGCTTAAAATATATTTACCAGAAGTAAATGTTGTAAGAGAGTTGACGGTAATCTTGTAAAAAAAGTTATAAAATGATTCATGTTGCATGGACATTGGATGAATGAGTCACCTTTGGATTCCACTGGTCAAACATGAAAAATTTAATTTAGATTGTAGATTTATTTTTTAAAGGTTACCCTGTGATTAATGCAGTGTTTTATTTCCCACAAGGGATTTGGTCAGAAACCATGAGAATAAATGTTGTACATGTTCAGTGCAGGAAATTGGCTTACTGATTCAAATGGATCATGAATTCGCCTCCAACATCTCTTTGAATAGCTATTCACAGCTAGCTATTGAATAGCTAGCTTCGCGACCACATCACTCCCACCCTCGCTCGCCTCCACTGGCTTCCCATCCCCCAGAGGATCGAATTCAAGATCCTCATCCTCACCTACAAGGCCATTCACGGCCTTGCTCCCTCCTACCTCTCCGACCTACTATCCCCCTACCTACCTGCCCGTACCCTCCGTTCCTCTGGTTCCGGTCTGCTCCACATCCCCCGCCCCAACCGCCCTACCATCGGTGGCCGGGACTTCAGCCTCTCAGCCCCCAGGCTCTGGAACTCCATCCCCCAGTGCCTTCGCCGCCTCCTCCCTTTCCTCCTTCAAGGCCGGTCTCAAGACCTTTCTCTTTGACCGTGCCTTCAGCTCCTCTCTCAACTCTCTACCCACTCCTCGCTCCCTCCCTTCCCTCCCCTCACCCTGACCATTTCCCCTCTGCTCGGGTCCCGACCCAATTGTCCAGCGCCTTGGGATGCCCTCCCGACATGAAAGGCGTTCTATAAGTGGAATCTTGTTGTTGTTGTATCCACTTGAAATTATTTGTTTTAAAATTTGATTTATTGTGTTGGCACTATTTTACGTTTGAAATCCTTTTTGGTCCTTTTCCTCTAGATTCTAGGTCTGAAAAGAATTGGCAAAACATAGGAAAAAAATTAGAATCAGTCCATGGTGACATCTTCTAGCACTCAGCTAATAAACTAACATTGGCAGAGGTTTGGGAATATGGCGTTTCCCAGACCTGGAGATGTTGGTGGTGATCTCATAACCCGGATATTGACTTTTTTACCCCAAGATGTTAAAATGGCTGATTTAGGCTATATGATCCAGTGAGAGGACTAATTTTGTATGCTTCATCAAGGAGTCAGAAAATATAAAGAACCATTCCCATAATCTGAGTCAGGTTAGGAGTTTGAGAAGTGTGCACATGTTGAAGACTGACTTCCCCACTTTGATCTTTTTGTTACATCGCGAGCCACCTTTATTTTCCTTTTCGTCCAAACCTGCTACATTATTGTGAGTTGGACAGGCATAAAAGACACTAGCTACTAACATTCTTTTATTTTTCTGTTTTCAGGTCAATTTTCATGCAAAGAATTATCATCTTACTCCTTTCACTGTTGTTAACATTATGTATCACTTCAGCAAAACACAGGTAGGGTCTTTAAAGTTGTCATATGTTAGTTGAAAATGTTGGTGTAAGTTGATTTAATTATCTTTACATCCCTCTTTTCCGCCCCAAAACATTGAGATATGCAGTATGTTCTGCTGTTTGTTGGTGAATGTATGCTGACTTAACGTTAAGTGCTGACAAAGGAGATGTCTGGCATTGCCAGAGATGTCTGGCATCAGACACATTGTTTCAGAAATGTTTGGCTTTGAATATATTTTGTCAAAATATCCACATATGTGTGTGTCTTATACTGGCTAGAAGAAAATTCCACAGTTCTGGTGGTTAAACAAACTTGTGCAATGAATAACTGAACTTCAAAGGTTTGTTGAACATTCTGAGTTTCGTTGTTCTGTACTGAGTTATCTGATCTCATCCAGGGCATCAATAGAAAATTTGCTTCAGGACCCTAGAGAGGAAGTGAAATTCAGTTAGGCTTTTCAGTGCTGATCTGTTGAGCAACTCTCCTTGTGAGGCACACTGTCTTGCTTCTCTACAGATACAAAACTTTTTGTTGAACAAGGACTTTAGAGAGGCAAGAAGAATAGCTGATGAAGTTTCATTCCACAACACTGATATTTATACCTTGAGAGTCTTGATATAACCAGAAAATTGCCAGCGATTAACTGTAAAGTGGAATATGGTCCACAACTTACATGGGATGAAATGGCACAGAAACAGGCTATTGCCCCTCTCCTATTCCTTTCTATTTTCTCCTTCATGTATGCAGAAAACTGCTGTAGTCCGTACCATATCCACATGCTACCATTTAGAGCTATTTCTTTCAATGTGTGACCAGGAGTATTATCCTTGTCAGTTTTTTAATCAACATGAAAGGCACCTTACAAATGTAATGTAGTTATTGTTGTTAATCTGATCCTACCAACCCCACAATTTGAACTCTGTTCCTTTTCCTTTTCCATTGCCAGAATTTCTTTTATTAATTGGCAAGAAAAACGGCCTCATTTCAAATATTTCTGAAATTCTGCCTCATTTAATACACTGCGCTATAATTTGAGTATTGCTTTACCCTGTCGGTTCTGACCGTGCTGTTTTCAGAAGCTTTGAGGGAGTCAGTCATATGATGCCTGCCTTTTTAAAGCAATAAATTGTCACAGTCCTAGCTTAAACGATTCAATTGAAGAAAATTAAAAGAAAAAAAATTATTTTAGTAACTAAATTGACAGCAAAGACCAAAACTTTGTTTTTAAGAAGATTATTGGTGTGTTAAAGATAATCAAAAATTGTAAGAAATGTTGGAATTTTTAAATTTATAATATTTGCATGAACTCCAGCAATATCACCTGAGGCTGGTATTCTTTCCAATCAGCTTCAGATAACTCTGCATGCCAAAGCCCTAATGCATAGGATGGCCCTACCTGGACATACCTGAGAAAGATTAGAATAGAAGCTGTGCAGTTTTAGCTGGCTAAATTTCAGCAGAACCCGAATATACACTCAGGGGACTACAACCCTGGGTTCTTGCCAAACTGCGCCTAAAGTCTCCACGATTAGCTAAGCAGGGTGGGTTCCTTTGCGGGGACAGTGCCACAGATAAACAAAAAACAGAACTCTCAGTAATTTAGTTTGGCGATTCTTTAGCATGCTGTTGGGTTTTAGTACTTCTCAGATACCAAACTGACTGGAAAAACTATCCATTTACTCTCACCCCCTGGCCTTTTCCCCTATACTGTTTTGTATTTTTAGATGTGTCAAATATTTCTTTGATTTTGTTCCTCGTCTCGCACCTTACCCCCCACCAGCAGAGGTCGTGCTTTCAGTCACTCCGACCTGAAACTCTGGAACACTCTCTCTCAATCCCTCCGCCTTGCTCCCTCTCCCCTTTTTCAAGTCCCGCCTGAAAACCTTCCTCTTCGTTCCTGTATATGGTCATCTCCCCCTGGCTTGGAGTCAGGCTCCGCCACTGTTAAGCGCTCTGAGACCCTACCCTATATGCAGGGTGCTATATAAGTGCAATTTATTGTTGTTAATTCACTTTTAAAACTGTTAGAAACTGTGCTTCATTCTGGAGGACATCCAAGTCCTGATAACCCACTATCTAGGAAACAAAGCTCTTTTAACTCCCATTGTTTTGATAAGGAGAGCCTCTCATCCCTTTTATAATCCTTGTGCATATCCTCAATACTCTCTCCATGGTTTTGACATTCTTCCCAGAGTGGGACACTAAGAACCGGGCACAATACTCAAACTGTGGCCTATACATTGATTCTTACAGGTTTAGCAACACTTGTTTGCTGTTGTATTTTATACCACTATTTATAAAATCTAAGGTTCCATTAGCTTATTTGTTACACAGCTTTGTCAACTTGCCCTCCCACTTTTAAAGCTTTGTGTATGTTAATTCTTCAGTGTCACTGTTCTTCCAGTCCTTTTCAAAGTTTAACGTTTCTTCTCGAATTCAAGATCCTCATCCTCACCTACAAGGCCATTCACGGCCTTGCTCCCTCCTACCTCTCCAACCTACTATCCCCCTACCTACCTGCCTGTACCCTCCGTTCCTCTGGCTCTGGTCTGCTCCACATCCCCCGCCCCAACCGCCCTACCATCGGTGGCCGGGCCTTCAGCCTCTCAGCCCCCAGGCTCTGGAACTCTATCCCCCAGTGCCTTCGCCGCCTCCTCCCTTTCCTCCTTCAAGGCCGGTCTCAAGACCTTTCTCTTTGACCGAGCCTTCAGCTCCCCTCTCAACTCTACCCCCCCCCCTCCCTTCCCTCCCCTCACCCTGACCATTTCCCCCCTCCTCGCCCCCTCCCTTCCCTCCCCTGACCATTTCCCCCCTCCTCGCTCCCTCCCTTCCCTCACCCTGACCATTTCCCCCCTTGCTCGGATCCTGACCCGCCTTGGGACGTCCTCCCGACGTGAAAGGCGCTCTATAAATGGAATCTTGGTGTTGTTGTTCTCCTTATTCTCTTTCCCAAAATACATCACCGCACACTTGTACCTGCATTAATTTTGCATGCCATCTATCTGCCCAATATTTCAGCCTTCCTAAAGTCTTCACAGTTAACCCTTCTTCCCATTGTGTGTCATCTGCAAATTTTGATACTGTGGGCCATAAATGAACAACTTTGTATCCATGCTGCCAACATTCCCTTTAATACCATCCTGCATTTTTTTCAGCCATGTTAAGAAAATCCATATAAATAGCATTTACCGCTTTATCAATATATTTTTNCCATAATTTATTAAATTAACCAAACTTAATTTGCTTTTACAAATCTACGCTGGCTTTTAAGAAACCCATGCCTCTAAATAATAATAATCCTTGCATTTGATATAGCGCTTTTCACGTCGGGAGGACGACCCAAAGCGCTTCACAGAACACACTGTAAACTGAATTGACTGTGTATTTGTGGGCGAATGCGGCAGCCAATTGCACACAGCAATGTCCCACAAACAGTCGTAGATTGAAAATGACCAATTTATTATTGTTTTGGCTTTTGGAGGGATTATTATTAGGCTCTGTGTGGAGTAAGGAAACTTGCCCAAGGTTTTGCCCTCTGCCTGGAATTGAACTCAGGTCTCTCGCTTGCAAAGTAAGTGCTCTAACCACTGAGCTACAGGACTCCACAAAATCATAATTTTGTCTCGTATTATAACAACAAAAAGCTTAGCCCTACAGATGTTGAGCTAACTGGCCTATAATTGTAGTTTCCCTAATCTTTAAATGATTTGTACCATTCATCAGCTTGTATTTTGGGAGACTTTAAATGCTTGTTCCTTGCTTATTATTTAAATTCCTCCATGGCATTGCTCACCCTACCTCTGAGACCTTTTGCAACCTTACCAACACAGCTACATCCTCTGCTCAGTGAACTCAACCGTTCTACCATGTCTGGAACAGCATCACCCAACAGCATTTCCTCAGCTACCCCCCACCCCAGGTCATACTCCCAGTGAGGTCCGAAATGCTTTGAGACGTAATCCCAATGTGAAATACACTATATAAATGTAAAATTCTTGTTGTTTCCAGTTGTGTATATAGTAAAATTCACAAGTCATATCAGTCGGGACCATAACATTGAATCCGAAGTCCAAATTGCAGGCAAATTGTATAAAATTAGATTTAATCAATAATCTGCACTGTGCATGTGTAATTCAATGCAGCCGGCTAAGTAGTGTACGTAGCAGTCTGTCACTGCTTTTTCCGCGATTCAATACAGACATTCGCATGCATACGTCAACGGGTCAAGAAATTAATTTATTGCGATTCAAAGCAGCCGGTAAGAGTGACTAATGTAGGGGATCTGTATTACGAGTTGCGCGATGATTAATACAACTAGTGCAAAGAAATCTATGTCGTTTTGATAGGTAACTGAACGGAACTCAGGTGCGTGTATGACAGGGTGATTATACGATTTAGAAAAAAGAACTTATGCAAGTTTTACTGTATTTTAACAATAGGATCAATGCTTTCCTATTTTATGTTCATTAGGGTCCTAAAGGCCTTTGGAAAGGAATGGGAAGCACATTTATTGTGCAAGGAATAGCCCTGGGTACCGAAGGCATTATCAGCGAATTCACACCACTTCCCAGGTAGATCACATTTTTACATATTTCCATTTTTCTAGACACTATTGTTTTTTAAATAATATTCAAGATTTATACTGGTCCATAAAATTACATTGCATAAATGTTAGCAACAAAAAATCATAACAAAAATATATTTAATAAATGATAAATAGACCTCCATATTAGCAGTAAATGCTGTAAGAGTCCATACATTGCATAGTATGTTTTGAATAACGCTTCACATTCGTTACTAATTGATTAGTATTAAAGCAGTGTGTATATTAATGCAAAATATTGAAATTATGATTTCAATCAATGTTTGACCAAGAAATTATATTGCTTTCTGGCACAGAGAATCTACTTGGGTTTCAATATGTTACCAGCTTAGTTTTGATTTGCATAATTGAATTCATATTGTTTTCATATTATGTACTTTGCTTAAGTCAGAGAATTTTGCAACATTGCAGGCTGTCCAATACTTATATTAGCGTCAGTGTTTGCTCCTCCAGCAAAACCATTTATGTACCTTAATCCCAATTTTCTGCTCCTTCCCTTGCCTTCTAATAACCCTTTTCCACACGTGCCTATCTAATTCCCTTTTAAATGCCTCTTGTCTTAATTCCATTTTAAGTCCTCTATTAGTCAACCCAGACAATTTATTTCATATATAGGATTTAGCTTTTAGAATTCAGAACAAAAAGTATAAAATGATAAAATGTATATTATATATCTATTTCTGTCTCTGTGTATGTGTGTGTATACATTTATAATATATACTGGAACAAGAGTTTGGTTTGATTTGATCTTTTGTAGGAGTGCCTAGGACTTGTGCAATGTGCTACTTAATACTATCTACATGACAGGCTACTTCTGCATATTGTTCATCTTAAATTTTGATATAATTTATGCATAATTTTCTGAGGAAACTGAAATTTTGTTTTCGTTTATAGGGAGGTTTCCCACAAATGGAGTCCAAAGCAGATCCTTGGACATGTTGTACTAAAAGGGTAAGGTATCTTGAATAGGTTATGTTTCCTTGTCAAGTTCCTGACAATCGGTCACTATTCTCAAATTCTCAGCGAATTCCTTTTGCTGACTGTTGGCGAGCTTAGCATTTGTCCATTGTACAGCTGTTTGTAGACTGTTTATGCATATAGTTACTGAAAGTATCAAACATCCAACTTTGGTGTTTTTAAAAATCCACTCTCGGTACATTGCTTTGAGGAAACTGTTTTCTGTTGGAATAGTTGTGTTTATCAGTTACATTGTTAAAACCATTCTTAAAGCATCTAAATAGTGAATTAGCATTTATAATGTTATATAAATATGTATGATTTGTTGTTCATTGTGCCCATTAATCTTGCTAATTTTGAACAAACTCTATTTCTTCCTTTAATCAAACTTGTACCATGTTATTTAAAAATAGTTGATTAAGACTGTCAGTTACAGAGGTTAAGGGAAACTAAAATTAAAAGCTTCGACTGGTTGCAGTGCATAAGTAAAATGACCTGTTGTATCCCTTTTTCTTGATATATTCATTAATTAAAGATTAGCTCATCTCACCACTGATTTGGCTGCATTAATATTGTAAGAAAATATGTATTTTTTAAAAAGGTTCTCATTGTTTTCTTCAGATTGACCTGCGCTGTGGCAATGCCCTTTTACTCGGCTAGCTTAATCGAGACTGTGCAGGTAAGATTTTACATATCTGCCGAATTTACTACCTATTTCTAATGGATCATATGAAGTAGGAATAATTGCTGCATTACATACTGAGTAAATTTTCCAGCGGTCAGCTTCTGATTTGCAAAATAACACTTCAATGATTATGATGCCCACACTCTTAAATCCTTTGCTACAAAAACTGCATATGAACGTTTAAAAGCTATTGCTACAAGAACTGAATAAAAAATACAATGGAATTAGTTTATATTATCAAATGTTTGCCTGGCTCAGCAGAAGTTACATATACATGAGCAATATATTGAGCAAAATTGTATTTTAACAATATTGTACAATCTTCTGCAGTGAGCAACAAAGATATCTGTTGAAATGCAGATAACATGGTAGAGTGTGTTATTGATTATTTCTTCTACTTAGTTCTGTATAAATGTTTTGCCAAACAAGACACTGAGAAAATCACAAAATGTTTTAATCACCTTTTAGTTCATTTTCTGATTATTGTAGAAGTGCTTTTTAAACTTCAAACAGCTGTGCTAAAGTGTAATTCAATTGCAGTAGATTGTGATTCCTTATGTACTAATAGTAATAAATCACTGACTTAATTATTGTTTCTATTTTCAGAGTGAAATCATAAGAGATAATCCAGGGATACTAGATTGTGTAAAGGAAGGTATTTGCAAAGTTTTGGGAATGGGTGTGCCTCACAGCAAACGTCTGCTTCCTCTTGGAGTCTTGGTCTTTCCTACTGTCTTACACGGAATACTTCATTATGTCATCAGTGCTGTCATCCAGAAGATTGTTTTGTTTATTCTACGGAGAAAATCGCCACTTCATGACCCCGCTGAGGGTTCTAGTTCTGTGCAAACTGTGCTGGATGCTTATTTCCCAGAACTTATAGCTAGTTTTGTTGCAAACCTCTTTGCAGATGTTTTAGTTTACCCACTGGAAACCGTGCTTCACCGTCTTCACATTCAAGGAACTCGTACCATAATTGACAACACAGACCTTGGGTTTGAAGTACTTCCAATTAACACTCAGTATGAGGGAATGAGAGACTGCATTAACATAATCAAACGTGAAGAAGGAATATTTGGCTTCTATAAAGGCTTTGGAGCAGTTATAGTACAGTACACATTGCACGTTGCTGTTCTACAGATCACCAGAATTATATATTCCACTTTGTTGCAAAATGTAACTTAAGTACGGAGTATATAAGGTACAGAGTAAATTGAATAACCCTCAGTGATGAAACGTAAAAAAGATGAATCTATGTTGTAAATGTAATGAGCACTTGATTGCTATATTTAAAATACTGAGCTGGAGAAAATCTTGTTTCACACATTGCTGAATTGATGATGTCCACAATTTGTTTTTAATATGTAAAATAACCTATAGCTGTTATGACCTATGTCTATTTCTGTGTATGCTTCTAATCTTTTAGCATATTGTATCAAATGCAATCTAGCAACAATTTCAACTTGTATAAAAGCAAGTACTGAGAGTGATGAGTAATTGAATTTTTCAATCATTCTCCAAATCAAATGCACTAATCAGCATAATTAGAGATGTTTCACCATTATTGTTTTGATACCTATGTAAAAAGTGTAACTGTACCTTTTTTTTTCCAGGTTGATTATAGCTTTTCACATTATAAATTTGTTTTTTCATTAGTCATGATATGGTGTGGTCCTCATCAATGTGAATTGAATCGTCTTTAGATCTCAAATGGCCTATTCACATAAAGAATATTTGATTTTAAAAGAAACAAGAATAGGATAGTCTTAACTAGCCCAATTTTGGTTCTAGAGCTGCAGTGCTCTTATCTACACTATTGTCATGCAGGTGGTTTCTCTTGTGAACAATTACCGGGCTGTTTATGGTAAAAGGTATCATATGTATGGATTAAATCTGTAAAAATATTGTGTTGGCTTTAAATAACATTACCATATAATTCATAAAATATATTGATGGAGATTGGTATTGTCTTACTTTGCGGTTTTTATTCCAGAAGCGAATATGGTACCAATTGGTACTTTTACAGAATATACATTGATTGATATCTAGGGAAATTAATGATGGGTATAATTGAGAATTATGTCAACCTGCACTTTACATTCTCTGGAAATGGATAAGCAAAGAGCATCCCTTTGGGGAGAGTGTACACTCCACACCAGATAAACGGAAACCATACATATAATAGACCCCTGTTATAATGTGATAGGTGGGGGGTCTATAAATCCCAACCAGCCTTCAAGTTCAAATCCCTTCACTCTCTGGCACCTCCCTACCTCTCCGACCTCTTCACTCCCCAATCCACCACCTGTCGCCTCTGCTTGACTGGCACTGGCCTCCTGTTCGTCCCTCGCACCCTCCGCCCACCATCGGAGGTCGCGCTTTCAGCCACTAAGCCCCGAAACTCTGGAACACTCTCATTCAATCCCACTGCCTTGCCCCTTCTTTTTCAAGTCCCGCCTGAAAACCTTCCTCTTCAACCATGCTTACAGCCACCCACCCCCCCCCCCCCACCCGGCTCGCTGTCAGACTCCGCCACTGTTAAGCACTCTTGAGACGCTACCCTGTGGAGGAGGGCGGTATATAAGTGCAAGCTGTTATTGTATAACAGCATGATAACTGTTCAGTACTTTCATATTATGACATAACTCATCAAATGGCTAGTGATAATGCAAATATGCACAGGAAGTTGGTTAGTTTCTTTCATGCTTAAGAAATAATAATCCTTACAGTTCAATTAACACTTTATCACGTTGTTGAGACTTCTTGAAGGGCTTCACAGGATGTATTGTAAAACTATTTTGTGGATGAAATGTTGCAGCCCGTCGCACACAGCAATGTCCCACAAACAGCCATGGAGCGAGTGACCAATTATATTTGAAGAATTATTGGCTAGGAGACCAGAAAAAACTCCCTTCTCTTTTGAAATAGTGCCATGGAATCTTTAATGTCCACCTGAACAGGGAGATGGGACCCCGGTTTAATGTTTCATCCGAAGGACCAACTTCTGCCAATGTCCCTTCCTGCGCATAGCCTGGTAGCTTTCACATTTCTGGGTCAGAAGGTTGAGGGTTCGGGCCCCACATCAGAGCTCTGAACTTGTACATTTTAGGCTGATGCTCTAATATAGTCCTGGACATCTGCTGGATTGTTGGTGGTTCCATCCTTCGCACAAAATATTCTTTGAAAAAAGGCTTTGTGCAGTCTCCTGGCCAAAATAAAATTGGTCATGTCCTTCATGGCTGTTTCTGCATAAATTGGCTGCTGCATTCATCTACAGCACACAGTCACTGAATTTAGAGTATATACTGTGAAGTGCTTTGAGACATCCTGCTGATATAAGGCTCAAAATCAAATAGAAGAATAATCATTATAGCGTAAATGTACAGCAGCAATACAATTTGCATTTATATGCTGTTTGTGTAGTGGGGGAATATTGTCAAACCAAAGTTCATAAGGCGCTTGCAATATAAGTGAACTAGTGTTCTGAGGGAGCACATTATAATTGGGTTCTACCGTATGCAAAACTCAATAGTTTGTAACAAAAACAAGTCGCTGGGAACACTCAGCAGGTCAGGCAGCATCTATGGAGAAAGGAAAGTGAGTCAACGTTTTGGGTCCACGACCCTTCGTCAGAACTCCTGTTTTTGTTTCAGGTTTCCAGCATCTGCAGTATTTGCGTTTTGTTTGGTTTGGTGCCTCTTAAGTATGGATATTAGTTTCCATGTGTGTCATGGCTGACAGAAAAAGTATAAATTATGAGTCCTCTTGACTGGCAAGCAGTGTGTTGGAATAGGCAAACCTGGATATGATACAAACTTCAATTAGGATCTCAGCAGTCCAAGAGGAGTGATAGTGGTGGAGATGGGTAACATTGCTGAGGTGAGGGAAAGCTGAGTAAAACCAGATGTGAAACTTGAAGGACAAATTGTTATGGATTCATGCCCCGCATTGCGACTTTGAGCTCATAGTCTAAGATGAAACTCCAATGCATTGCTGGGGGTGTCCTGCAGATTGGATATTAAATCATGGTCCTGTCTGTTCAGGTGAACATTTAACGATCCCAATGCACTATTCAAAAAAAAAAGGGAGTTTTTCATTGTGCCTGTTTTTTTGTTCAGCCGGAGTGTCTGGCACACGTGGAAACCCATTACCATGTTAAGAGTACCAAAGCAAACAGAGCTCCACTTATGCATGGCAGCACTGATCCATGGCAACATTTTAATTTGAATGTTTTTTAACATTAAACGTTCTACCCTACAATGCAGATCTGGTATTTTTTGCCCACAGGAGCAGAGCATAGTCAGAATGTTCAAGACATGCAAAGGGGTGCGTCTATCAGACCTCTTTGGTAACAAGGTTGCCAGAGCCTAGTGTTTGAATAGAGTGTGGGATGGGTAGGGAGCAGGGCTACACCCAGGAGTTCAGAATGATTCCTGCTTAAGTGCACCAAAATGTTGGTGCTGCAATATCTCCTCGATCTAGATAATAATTTAGATGTGGGTTGTTGGTTACTCAATCTACATTTCTTGGTATCAATTTTGTGTGGGTCAGCCGGGTGTATGCGATAATAGTTTAGATGTGGGTTGTTGGTTACTCAATCTACATTTCTTGGTATCAATCACCATGCTTAAGAGTATCCAAACCAAGCCAAGATTTCTATGCATCCCACCTACACGTGGAAATTCCAGAGCGAAATTGTTGGAATGGGATGCACTCTCCCTGGAAGGACGCATTCTGCTTACCTAATTCAGGAAAGTATTAGGCACAGGTTGGCAAGAGCCAAGACTTGGGGACCCCAGAGTGTGCGTTGGTGTACTGTTGGAGTTTAACCAGCTAAAACCTCATAGCTTGCCATTGATATTGCTGTCTGGCAAGCTTTCCCACTGCTTGTCCAGGTAAGACTACCCAACTCGTTAGGCTTTGGCTTACAGAAGCTGAGTGGGATGATTCCCTGTCCCAGTAACTGGTCTGCCCTTCCAAGTCTTGCTGATGAGCCAGATTGGCTGTGTTGTTGTCCCGTCCGCGACAGGTACATGTCCCATTGAGCGATGGTTCCAACAATTGAAAGTGCGGAGTTTAAGCAGCAGCTGCTTGGCTCCGCAGGCCAATCAAGGTGCGTTCCAGGTACTGGACGTACGAACATGTGTCCACAATGGCTACAAACTCAGACTCCACGTAACGCCTTCCAGCAGCTGTTGCCCCAAGCCTCAGAGCTTCTCGTCAGCTGAGATCATCAGCTGGACATCTGCCTTCAGCATGGTGAGTGGACCTTTACAGGACAGCTTGTGATGTGCTAGCTACCTTGATGTTCTCGAGGTCCAAGACCAATGCCACGTACCAGGCTTACTCAGTACCAAATGCTTAATCCAGGTCCTCAGTTCCTTGGTATCAAAGGAAATCTTTATAGGATCAAAGATTACAAAAACAGGTAATCTATTCTAAAACGTTTAATGCACAATGATCTAGGTTTAAATATGTGCATTTATTCTGACAGCCTTTCTCTACCCATGACCCAGGCCTACCCCTATAACCCTAACTTGAACCCTAAACTGATGACAGACACTGATGACAAAAAGCCTGGTCATTCTATAAACTCAACAAACAAATATAAAGTACAGGGAGTTCTAAATGAAGGTTTGCTTTGCTACCAGACATTTTCAGTAAAGAAACCTCATAGACAACCAATCGGAAATCCTGGTTTGCAAAATAACCCAATACAAAACATTAGCTGGCTGTGTTGATATGGAAAGTAAATTATTTAGATGAAAGGTTTATAATACACTATGTACAATATGGAAATTCCAGTCGACTACAAAATACCGTATTAATTGTAATATTGATTGTGCCACTCACGCGATTTAGTCTTGCTTTCCTTTTTTTTAGTCAGCTAGGTGTCACAAAGTCATTTTTCCCACAAAATATATAGTCAATTCATTTTACAGTATATTCTGTGGCTCTCTTTGAGACGTCTCGAATTTGTGATAAGGCGTTATATCAAATGAAAGAATCATTATTATTATGTTTCACATCAGACAAGCACAGGTTTCAGTCTTCACTAGGTGGATGCAGATACCTGGAATTCCCTGTGAGCTCGCTGGTGAGCAACACAGCATCAACATGAATGCATGGCACATGCCACCAGTATTGGTAAATTAGTAACTGTGTAAATTAGATAAATATCTTAAAAAGTGTCAACTACAGCGGTATGGGGAAAGGGCGGATAAGTAGAACTGAATAGAGTTGGCAAAGATAATAATAATCCTTGCATTTGATACAGCCCTTTTCACGTCTTCTAGACGTCTCAAAGCGCTTCACAGAGTAAACTGTAAAGTGAATTGACTGTATATTGGTGGGCGAAACACGAAACTCGCCTTGTAAGCGAGACACCTGGGTTCAATTCCAGGCAGGGTGAAATCTTGGGCAGTTGGCTGTCGCATTTCGCCCACAAATATACAGTCAATTCACTTTACAGTCTATTCTGTGAAGCGCTTTGAGACGTCGAGAAGACGTGAAAAGTGCTATATCAAATGCAAGGATTATTATTATTATTGTTATAAGGAAACTTGCCCAAGGTTTGGCCCTGCCGGGAATTGAACCCAGGTGAGAACTTGTGAGGTGAGCGCTCTAACCACTGAGCTACAGGACTCCACAAGATGTGATGAGCCAAATGGCTTTCTTCCGTGCTGTAAATTTCTATGGTTCCTGTAGCACTGCATTGGAGTCTAGATTATGGGCTCAAAGTCTTGACGTAGGACTTTAACCCACAGCTTTCTGATTCAGAGGTGAGATTGCTACAACTGAGCCAGACAGTATGTAACATACACATGGAAATGCCCTCGAGGCTGGGATGCAAAACTTACTCTCTTCGTGGGAAGAACACCTCTTGCTTACCTAATATCAGAAAGTTTTGAATGTGGGTTGACAAGTGATAGCTTGGGGAATTTAACCAACGATAACCA